TGGTTGCTTTTAAATTTGGAGATCAGCTTCGCTGGAGCAGATGAGCAGAGTGGAGAGGATCTGTATTTTATATAGAGAAGTCTCTAGGCTTTGTAAAAGAGGAAGTATGAACTAATCTGGTATTGGTTGTGATGGGAAGTGCTTTCCTGTCGTTCTGTCCTCACCTGCCACTCCCCCAGTATTTATTCTTGCCCCTCAGCTGGGAGCAGCCAGCACAACTAGGACAGTACAAAGAGCTTCAGGTTCTGGGCACCATGACAGCGTATCCAGACCAAACCAGGGCAGCAGTTGCCTGGGGAAAGCTTGCCCAGCCTGTGTGATACTATGCTCTGTTAAATTATTCCCCAGTCTAGGGTCAGTTCCTGGGGCTTGCTTTATAGTGTGAGTAAATAGAGCAGAAGGGTAGGTGCAGAAGAATGAACTTCCTGAAGACAACCAGACAGGTAGGGTACTGCCTATTGTATGTGCTAGAGAAGGACATGGCCACAGCCAAACTCAAAGGTAGAGCGATGTTTCTTCCACTTAAATTATCTGCTGAAACCACTTTAGTAAAATTTAGCTTTCAAACCAGATTGTTCTTTTCTGGCCTTAAATTGGTATTTTCTGTGCCTCTGGCATCTACTTGCCAGTGCTTTGGGCTATCACAGAGTCAAGGTACAAGTTTCCAAATCTGTTTTTGGACTGGAAGGATATCTGTGGTGTACAGTAAGATGTAGTGCAGAAATGCGAGTCTGTTGCTCCCAAAGGAGACCCATTTGTCTAGAAGATGCTTTATAATCCTTGGGGTGAGGGGAAGGGTCTAATCAAGTGTTCAGTGCTGTCACCTTATATATTGGAGAATGATTCAGGGTTATAAACTGGCAGTTTACTGCTTGTATGAAGTGCAGCAGATCCCGGAAGGAGACATTATGTAGGGATCCTCAAATCCGGTGCCTGAAACAACAGTGGTTGGAGCACTCCTGGCATGTGCCAGGTCTGTATTTCAGCAGCAATGTGGACAAGCTGCTCCTGCCACAGAGCCCCTGGAGGTCTTATCCTCAGTTCAGGAAGAGCTGGGAGTAGAACTGGTGCTGAACCATGAGAGGCCTGTGGTGGCATCAGCTGTTCCTCTCACTTCACCAGCTAAACTTCTTTACTGCCACTGTGTGTGCTAAGTTCGCTGAAGGCAAACTTCTTTTCCACTCTTAGTGCTGATGGATTCAAGATCAACTACCTGAAAAAATTAAAAGTATTTCTCAAAAGGCAGAACTTTGTGTATGATACTAGTTTTCCTGTTTATGTAGTTTCCCATCCATCCATCACAGTTTTACCACCTCCTGTGTGTCCATGCTTTTTAAACAATGGCACACAAGTCACTTCCCCAGTAGAATTCAGCTATGAAATATATGTATCTGATTAGTTCTATAAACAATTGATCTGACTACTAAGTAACTGCTGTATTTACTTTTAAGACCTTATTTTGCTTTTTTCCATGGCAGCAACGAATCAGTATTCAGCAGCCCTTCACTATTACCTACAGGCAGGAGCTGTATGCTCAGACTTCTTTAATAAGATGGTGCCACCAGATGTGTACACAGACCAGGTGAGTTAAAGTGGGATTTAGATTTACAAAAATCCCTGTTTGGATTCAGTCAGCATCCTGATTCTACATAGAGACAAAACTGTTCAGCATACACACATTCCTGTAGCCTCTGGGGTTTTATATCTGTGCTTCCAGTGCTGGTATCGCATGGACGGAGCCTGCTTGTTTCCACCCGTGGTGCAGGCAAACTTTGTGTCCTGTCTAAATGCTTCTGAAATACTGTCTGCTCCGGTTAACATGGATGAGGGTAAGAAGCATGGATCACATTAGTAGTGAGATCCATACAACACTGGCTCCTTTTCCCACGCACTGGTATTTTTTCCCAGACTCTGACTGAGCAGAGCTGCATCAGGGCTGTGCAGGATTGTGTAGAAAGGGGTGGGATTGTAGTTTACCCTTGTCAGGGCATGCTGGAAGCACAGCAGAGCAGGTATCTGTGCACTTTGCAAGTGGGCGTAACAAGTGGTTTGTCACTTGCAAATGGGCTGTGAGTGAGAGCCCCATCATCCCTCTGTGTTCTGGGGGAATCCTCAGTCCCAGACACAGCATGTTCCAGTGACATCGTGCAGGATGTCACTTAACCTTTTTCCAGGCATTTGCTTGTTCATTAGGAAACCATTGCATTCCTTGTAGTCTGTGTTTTGCTAGGCAGTAGGAAGGAACTGTCTATTCCCAGGGAAGGTGTCCTGTCCAATTACTATTCCTTTCATGTTCCCATTTATAGGGCCAGTGAGAGCTCCAGATGCCATCTGGAAATCCTGAATGTTCACAGCCTGATCTAAGCTGTGCCTCGTGCCAGGCTGCCATGGTGCAGGAGTCCCAGCTGGGATGCCTGTGCTGTCACACAGCACCAGGGGCCTGCCTTGGTGTCAGAGCTTTGTCAGTGCTGGTCCCACCCGCCAGGCCTTTCCTGTGGGTGGCAGGATGTAAAGGTGAAGCTTTTGGCAGGGCAGGGCCTGGCTGCCCCACACAAACACAGGGTGCTGCTCCTCAGCACATGCTGACCCTTGGGACATCTCTGAAGTGATGAACGCTCAGTTGATCAGTGGATATGCTAAAACCCCAAGGTTAGGGGGGTTAGAAGAATGTAAATAGCTATTTAGCGGGTCCCTTGCATTAAAAAAAAAAGAATCATAAAAATTGCTGTTTGTGTTCCAAAATGAGCATTTCAGAACTTGTGTTTTGTGTTTTTAACCCTTCTCTAGGTGATAAAAAGAATGATCAAGTGCTGCTCTTTACTAAACTGTCACACCCAGGTGAGAGGTGAAACATGGCATTAAGTAAAATATTTGTTAATATTTTGATGATAAAAAGCAGGGAGAACTTTTTTAAAAAGACTAAATCCAACTTTCCTTGGAAAGGCAATCTGCAGTAAAGTAGATTTTGTTATCTTTGCTTCTAGGACACACAAAGGACTGAAATTAATGAGTAAATAAACATATATTTGGAAATGTTCTAAAAAGTAGTAGTCTGTGAGTGCTTTGGCCTACTTTTCTCTTATAATGCAGATTTTTTTTTTAGAGGAACAGTACAGTATCTGTGGGGTGGTGTTGGGAACCTGGCCTTGTTCGTCATGATAACCACAGGTGGCTGTTGCTGTTCAGTGGGATTGTTCATTCTCCAAGAAGTAACAAGCTTATATTTGGCTCTGATTGAAAAGCTGTTAAATGCATTTAGAAACCTGGAAACCAAGTCAGTCCCTTCAGATCTGAGTAAATTCCTCTTAGCTATTGCCACTGTTGATGTGTCAGAACAAGCCCTATTCAGGCGCTCAGAATTTGCTAAAACTAGATTAGGTCCAGAAAGGCACTGGGATTAGCAAGGTGGTGTGTGGAAGGTTTCAGTTTGGGGGGAATTCAGGCTGTCAGAATCACTGCAAGTCTGTCCTTACAGGTAGCTATTTTGTGCCAGTTCCTCAGAGAAGTTGATTATAAAACTGCGTTTAAGGCACTGCAGGAACAGAACAGGTAAATGTTACAACAAAGTTTATAGATGCATAAACCCAGAATGTGAATGTGTCAGTTAACCTAACCTGCCTTGTCTTTCAGTCATGATGCCATGGATTCTTATTATGAATACATCTGGGATGTCACCATCTTGGAGTATTTGACATGTATCCTTTTGCTGGAATGCCACTCATACTGGATGTTTGCAGCTGGAATAAGTCTGTTTCCTCTCTAAGTGACTTGCCTTGACTGGCCCTCAGATCTCCACCACAAAAGAGGCGAGACAGACAAGCGGCAGATAGCAGTAAGTTAAACTGGGGTGCTCAGGGTGCTGGGATTTCTTTAGAGCGTCTTTCCTTCCCTGAAACCACATTTAAAAAGAATTGCCACTTCCAGTTTTAATTTTGTCACACGATTCTTTTAGAGTCTGTGTGCTCCTATGAAGCTGTGGCTCTAAAGTTGTAGGGATGGGGTGGCAGAGCATGTTACAGAAATAAATCACCCATGGAACTAGTGCTGAAAATGCCTTGAAATGAAACAGCTTTACTGGAAGGCCTTTTGCTAATGGTGTCTCTCCTCTTCTGTTTCAAGATAAAAGCCATTGGCCAGACAGAGCTGAATGCCAGTAATCCAGAGGAAGTCCTACAGCTTGCTGCACAGAGAAGGAAAAAGAAGTTTCTTCAAGCAATGGCAAAACTTTACTTCTAGGCAAATGCTGGAAGACTTATTATAAAACATGTAAAAGTGAAAAAAATATCTTTCAAGACTTTATTATTTTTAAAAACACATTTAAATTTTTATACAACATTTACAGCCTAGTATCTTTCTTCTTAGAAATAGATGAAATCTTATAATAAACCCCTTATTTTTACAAACTGTACAGAAGGCTGGAAGCAACTTCAGCTAGTTCCACAATGGCTTGTTTGAAGAAGACATGAATTCAAGTTTGTCAAGTTGGTGTGAGTGTAATGTGGATGTGGGTGGCACCTGATGCTCTAGTGCAGCTTCAGGGGCTGCTCAGTGTCATGTAACACTTGTCCCTGGACATGAGGCACAGGTAGGAGCATCATGAAAGAGGGAGGAGGACTGATACCCATCTTTCCCAGTACTGCCCTTCATCACAGAAGTGACTCAGAGGTAGTGAATATTCCAAGAAAAACACAGTAGTTAATGCTGTTTATAAAACACTGATAACTTACAGCTCCACAGTTTAAAATACTGTTCCTATGACGGGAGTGGTTGTAGAGTACCTGCAGCTCACTTTATTCCATACCTTCTCCACTTCTTATTATGTTCTTTTTGCAAGTTGGTGGCTGGCTCGTATAGGACAGAACTCCTTCCTTCCAGGACTGTACTTCCAGTTATGGTTACTTCAGCAGCAGGTCCTTTGCTGATACTCTTACCTGAGGTCAGTGATAACATTAAAACCACAGTTTATGGCAGGCTTAAATGGCTGCCATAAATTTATCAGCCTCCTGTGGAGCTGGAATTTGATACAAGGCTGGCTACACCGTACTGCACCGGCAGAGTGGTTTCAGACATAAACTGCTTACCCACGGGCCTCTGTAATACTGCACCTGAGCTGGGGGACTAACTGACAGGCAGTGAGCTCTGACCTTAGCAAGAGAAGAAAAAGAACAAGTCACGAAGTGGTAATCGGTACAAGCTGTCAATAAGTTCTCCTGCACATTTAGCCCAAATTAAAGCAAGTGTGACATGTAAGCTGAGTGGACCAATTTTGCCACTAGGCACTATTAAAAAAGTTCTTGAAATTAATAAGTTAGGAATGGTGAGAATTAAACTAAGTTGTGTCATAATGGACCAAGGTGGTCCGGGCTCCTGTGACAGCAGAGTGGAATGCTCAGCTGAACTCTTTTTGTCAAGTCTCAAGGATGATGCTGGTCTCAATTTCCTGCTGCATCTTTTACTGCCAAAGTCTTGAATAGCAGTAAAGAACGTGAGTCACCTTTAGTGTGGTCTTGTTCTGAAGCACCAAGTCCTGTTTCTGAATCCGTTAATGATGTTTGTATTTCATTTCTTCTCTGTGCTTTTGGGAGGGGTTATTATTCCACCTGTTGACAGGGGCGATAACTGACCTGGGGCAGTGGACACTACTCCACTGTTCACTTCTTCCTGTGAGTGGGGGGAAGAAGACACCAGTTAGTACCCACCACAAGGTCGGCTCTTTTGTGTCACTAGTCAGCAGTGCTACCTCACACCTCTCATACAATTCAAGTACTCCAGAGTTAGGATACTGAGTAAAGCCAAGGTGACATTACACAATGAAGTAAAGATTATTATCTTAGGAACACCTCTCCAGTACTGGTAATCCAAGTGTTTGCTTATGGCCTGGGAATGTTACAGTAAAACACATGTTGTTTACAGCATCACTGGTAGTTGGGCACATCTGACCACACTGGCTGAGGGGAGCCAGGCCAGGTGTGAGCAGGGAGAAGGGATGTGTAATGTACCCTCAGCTGTCTGAACTGCACATCCATAGACCACCTACCAGCATGTCCAAGTAATTTGTGTGTGTCTGGATATTATGTCGATCTTCTGCTGCAACCTTCTTAAAATTCTTAAGCTTCACAGGGAATCTTTTTGCCACATTCACAAAAGGAACCATCCATTCTACACACTCTGAAATGTTCTCCCAATCTAAGCCTAGGGAATAGGACACAGGAATATATTTAAACATTATGAAGGAGTTGCAGTGTTCCAAAATGGCCATAAGTTTAAAAAAACAATAAATAATAGTGCAGATAGAAATTCAGAAGCATCCTCCCAGAAACTGGCAGCATTTTCTTATGCTTGTTACATGAAAGGGTAGTGGCTAAGGATGGTGAGTGCAGGTCACAAGGGTTCTTGGTGCTTTCCAGGGAAGGCTGAAGCAACTTTCAGCTTCAACAGAATGTTCTGGGTCATGCTATAAAAATATACACTGGGTGCTGCTGAGAGAAATGACTGCTTGGGAACTACATTTTAGGACAAAAAGTAGCCAAATATATAGCTAATGATCCCTCAAATAATGGGAAATAATAGAGCAAGTATTATCCCAAAACCAAGAACAGTAAATCTGCCTCATTTCCTTAGCAAAGACTGCACTTCTGAAGGGGTGTCCTTCTTTTTTGAGTCTTTGTAACATCTGAAATGGTAGGAAGTGAAATTAGGGGGAAAAGAAACCCACAGAACAAACTATTAGTGTCCCTGTAGCTTTTGCTCTTTGGCAGTCTGGTAAACCAATACACTCCAGCTGCCTTGGGCCTGTGATAGCTTCCAGAATTCCCTGCTCAACAAGGCCAAGCTTTATAGCTGTGTCTTACCTGAAGCTTTCTTAACTATTTCAATTGAGGTATAGTGGCAGAGCGCTGCAGCAGCTAGTGTTCTGTACTGGAAATCCAAAGAATTCACATCCAGAATACACAGATCTAAAAGCTGAGGAAATGAAGAGTAACAAATTTTAACAGCTGATACTTTAGCATAATCCTGTGTCAGAGATGGCTATGCATACACATTCCTACAGGTTCTGCCCTGGAACAGGGTTGAGCTCCAGGAAAATACTTTCATAAATTTAAACACTACCTAGTGTGGTATTTACATCACTGAGCTACTCAGCTTCAGTAAACCTGAGATTAGGCACAATACATGCCCATGCAAACTGAACCACACACAAAACAGACAAAACACTCCCCAGGCTGCCTTCACAGCAATTACACAGAAACACAGTTAATGGCAACACAGTTAAAAACAACCAACTTTCTGTAGGGTCCTCTCAGAGCTGTTGCTGCTGTTTACAGAATGCTGCAGTGTATAGTAATTAAAAAAATAACAGAGATTTTTATTTTTCCAGGGTACAGTAAAATTTTAAAATATGTGAAGCAGGGAGACAAGAAACAGGGGTGCTTGTCCTCAAAACTGAGTATGAACTTCGGTGGTAGAGTCAAACTTGCACATTCCTTAAAAAGTAACAGGTGAGTGTAAACAAGGGAACACTTCCTTTCATGGCTTTTGAGGTGTAATGTTAAGTTTTTCTTGTCATCACTCCAAGAAGCACTTTCCAACAGTTTAGTACCTACCTGTGCTATCTGAATGAATTTTTCCTGAGAATACTGAGGTAGCAGCACTTTTGGAACATCCTTCAGAGCATCCACTTGAAGATAGAGGTTCAGCCAGGAGACAATTGTCACTGGACAGAGTTCCCATTTTAAAGCCTGCAAATATTTACCAAACAGTTAAGTGCCTTAAACCACTTGAGGATAGTTTTCTGCTCTGACTTCTTCACATACCCCTCCTTCTGAGATTATTGCACAGATCGTTAAAAGACCCTAATGATCATGTACAGTTTCAAGTACAGTCACTTTAGATTGCATTCTCACTGCTTTTTGAACAGGGTTTGCTACGATCAGCACAAACATGTATCCCTATGCCTTTGCAGTTGGATCTTGTGTACCTTCCCCATTCAGAAGCTGGGAAGTTAAAGAGTATATTCTCAAGCCTTCAGGCTAGCTGCCTGAACCTGCAGCTCATATCTGTTAAGGAAGAATAGATTTACAAAGAGTTCTATGCTGGTAAGGATGGATCCTTGCCAACATGAGGGGCACTGAGTAGTATCAGGTCTTTGCCTGGCTCTCTAGAGACCCCAGTTCCTGGACAGCAAGGGACCTTGGAAAGCGCAGTGCATTACACTGACAGCCTTCTAGCCTGCCCCAGTAAGAGCCTTTATGTTCATACAAGCATGAGAAACCTGCTTGACTTCTCACAGTCAGGGACTGTACCCCAGCCAGGGGCTTCAGAGGTCCACTGCACATACAACAGAAACAGGGACGTACTGAACGTGTTCTCTTTCTAAGCAAATAAGTGACATTAAAACACAAGGCTCAGCTGGACAGTCTTCCAACCAGCACTTAAAAACACAGCTAAGTTATTACCTTTAACATAATAAGTTCCATTCTTACAATATCATCTTCACTGCAAGCACCATCAGTGACGTAAGCAAATTCCTGTATTTTAGGAGCATAGATTTCCTTTAAAGGGAGAGAGGGGAGGGAAAATGAAGATTAGAGTGTCTTACAGTTCTAAGAAAGACTGAGAAAATACTGGCAAATACTTTTCTGTCCCTATCAACATGTTAACATTTCTTATGCTACAGTGTTTTTCTCATGTGTGAGGTAACCTGAAACTCACAGGATGAGGAGATAACATATAACCTACTTGTTTTTTAATATGTTGTAAAACACAATGGAGTTATAGCATCTCTTTTAGCTTTTGGGGAAATAAATGCTGACCAAGCAATCAGAATTCCCTTTCATTTATACTCTTTCTACTCAGTCATTCCAACTGATGTGAAAACATGCACCATCCTAATTCTGGTACAGGACACTGCTGTGCTAGAAATGGGTGGCTACTACAGGTTACCTGCAACGTCGGTGCTGAGGTAGTTGCGCAGATTAAAAAAAAAAATTAAAAAGCTAGAGAAAGATGAGAGAAAATGCCAGCCACTCTAACTGGCAAAATCCATACTGCAGAGATGGTTAACAAGGAAATTTGCCAACCCAGTCATGCCAGCTGAGACCAAGCATAGCTAGGTGTGTTAGTAAAAGAGAGTGTGCCAGCAAAATTCCTCCTATACCAGCTGGCTCTGTGGCCACTCTACAGCCCCACACACTTCCTTAGGACAGGTAGCACAGAACCTTAGCATTGGGAATAACAGTGAGATCTGGGGATTCCCAGTATTAAAACGTAATATCTCAAGTGTTCTGCTCAGCCTGGCCTACCATGCACTACACAAAAATATGCTCCTGGCTCGGAGCTGTAGCACACAATGTAACATGTCACCATTGCTGCACTTTAAAAGACTAAAACTCCACTAAATGGGTTTATAAGGATATCAGCCTGATGTACAGGCAGATTGAGATTTAGGCTTGGTTTTGTTCAAGTCCCACACCCATTCCTGAGACTGTTTGCCAACTGCTGTATATTTGAAAAAAAGACAAGACAAAACAAAACAAAGCTACTTCTAGCACGTTTGCATGCCTTTTAAGTTTATGTGGTCTCCTTCCCTGCTGCTCAGGAAAGGGAGGACAAAGACTACACTCCAAGAGATTGACATATGCACAGCTGAAGGAAGACAAAAAAATTTCCCCTTCTGACCCTCAGTATTGTACATACACTATCAAGTTCAAAAGATTCAGACAGAAGAAATAAATGTTATCACTGTCCTTTTAGTTACTCCAAATTCAATATCCTCCCTGTAAGAGAGATTCTTACCTCAAGTTTGGAGGCAATGAATAATGAGGTAATTCCTATGAGCTGAAGCATGCTCTTGTTAATGTTCTTTTGTGTCAACATGAATCTATCAAAAAAGTCTTGAGCTAGATAGAAGGTTTCCCGGTGGAGTGCATACACCTCACACACCTACAACAGGAAAAAAGAAAACAATTCAATTTTCTGTTATAAAACTCTGTGTACACACATTGGAGCATTCAAGCTTTAATAGCAAAACACAGTGTGCACTATTTCATTTTTTGCACACACAAACCATCATATACTTAAGTGTGGAAGGATGCAATGGTTAGTATGGGGTTGGAAAAGGTATTTCCCATTGCTCCCATCCAAACACAAATTGCCTATGATATACTAACATACTTTGAAAAAATACTTTTTCCAATTTAAACAGCAATCATTTTTCCTAAAAATGCGTACAGTTTTTCACTCAAAGCCTTGTTGAGGGGAAAAACCCAACAAAACCGCAATGTGCACACACACACACAAATTAGCTAGATTAAGAATACTAAGGGCTCAAACCTCAAGTTGAAGTCAGTGAGCAAATCCTCCCTGTATTCCTAGTAGGTCTGTCCCAGGGTAGAACCACTAAAAAAAATTGAAGTCTTTGGCTCTACGGCAAAGGAGCCTGGAAGCTGCTGCTGGAGGGGCCTCTGCTGGCAGGCCAGGAGCGCTGCCTGCAGCCCCTCAGGTTCACTGATGGCCTCACTAAGCAGGAACAAAACTACAAGAGCAGCCATCTGCTCCATCCCAGTGCGTGTTTCCCTGGCAGGGAGAACTTTTAATACTCGCATTGTATCAAAGTGTTTCAAATGTCAGTTCAACAAAAAGGGCGAGGAGACTGCCCAGGCCTGGAGATCTTAGGGGGAGCTCTACCTTTTCATATAATCTCTAATTGAATTTGGGTGGGACTACCACAAATGCATCTTATCTGCAACTCTATATCCCTTCCACAACTAGAAAACAGTTAGATATCTATAAATTACTTACAATCTACATGCAGTAAAGAACAGGAACAGAAAAGAATATCCAAGAAATAGATCCTAAGTGCTTCATTATTTTACTTGGATACTATTAGCTATTTCCCAAGATAAGGTTGGAGGCTCATTTGCAAATTAAAACCCTTCCTGACCACCAAAAATTCAACTGGTTGGCAGAAACAGCACAGCCCATTCTTTTAGACCTGATATAATATTTGCCAATTGCTGTGCTACTCTGATGTTATTTGTTACAAAGAAGATTCAGAACCACAACTGTACAGACCAGGCCCACCCTTAAATAAATGGCATCATTATTGTAAAAGTGTATTGTCCAAACATAATAATGCTTATTGTAAAAGTGTGTTGTCCAAACATTAAACAATATCTCAGTTATAATATTACAGAAGACAGTGTTAGGAGTTGCTGGGATTTAAATCCACTGCGGCGTGTTGAACCACCAAACTAGACAACAGCAAGGCCCTTGCTGACATTCTTGTTTGGAAACTGGGTGATTTCCTAACAGTTCAAGACTTCAGAAAAAGTGCAACAAACCAATGTAATGGTAGTATGTAAATTACACTTTAGAGGAAGTAGAAGCACACAACTAGAATAGTTTTTGTATTCAGTCCATATTATTAAAACAAAACAACTTTCCTTTTTCTTGAAATTCCCTGCTCTTAGCACTGGTTGCTCCACCAAGACAGTGAGAGTGCCACCGTAACATCTGCTTCCTTGGAATACTTGATGTGGAATTGATAATCCTGCAAGGACTCTTCTGCTGATGGGCAAGGATTGCATCAGGCAAAGATTGCTTTTGGCAGTGGTGACTGAATTCGCTCAATATAAAGTTCTTGGAAACACCTCCAAACCATAACTTTCTATTTACAACACTGATACTCCTTCACATAGGCTGTCAAGATTGAGAGCTTTTATTGGACAACTGGAATAGTCTTAAGTAAACCAATTAGATCAGAATATGGATATGATTTATTTGTAGACCTTTCACATAGGGATCTGTCTATATCAAGAACCTTCAGCTCTCAGCCACTGATGTACTACTTTCTTCTGCTCTCTTCATATGATACAATTAAAAATTCCCTATGGAGTCAGTAAATAGCACCAGGGGCTGACACTCAGAAGCTCTTGACAGGGACAGGGTGATAACTCAAGTCCTCGATACAGATGTTTCATGGCTTAGATACAGTCTAACACGTAAAGTCAGAGTTCCATACGTGGTCTGTCTATAGCAATTTCACTACAAGTCTCAAAATTAGATTTCTCTCCCTTGCAAGAAGTAGTATGGCAAGGGCAAAAGTTAAGTACTATTGCTCACTGTCCTGTGTGGAACATTCAGCATCTCCTGCCAGGGAAGGCCTGGATGTAGCTCACCAAGGGGATCAGAAGCAGTCACTGGTTCTGTTGCAAAACAGTTTTGCCATTTTTTCATAACAGAACATGTTGGTATTAGATATTTATATAAAAGCTGTGCTTCTACCTGCCTACTTCACAGGCACAACACATGGCAAAGTAACTAAAAGAACACACCTCCAAGAGCCAGTCCAACAGTATCGATCTCATGTGAGGCTGCAAACTGGAATGTAGTGACGTGAAGTGTTTGCAGTGAGCGTATCTGTTCTCCTTCATCAGGATGTTCAGCCAGATATCTTTGGAGTTTCCCCAGCTATAGAATAGAATTACACAAAGCATTATTAAGTATATATTCAGCTCACAGAAGGAGAATAAAAACACTATTTGTTGTTTACAGACATTCGGAAACAAAAGTTCCACATACTACAAGATCTTTACGGTAATCGCAAAACTGCAGGTATACCTGGGACATTTTACACCACCACAGCAGCAGCCTGCGAAGATCATCAGCAAGTCCAGTTCTATAGAACAGACATTAAACCTGAACATGTGCCCCCCAAAGTTGCACATGCAGGTAGTTTCCTATTTTGCCTAGTTGGGTTGCTGTTCAAAGAGCGAGATAAAACCAAACCCTCCCCCATAAAAAAAGGTAACACATCCCCTCCCTAAGAAAGATAAAGACATACATGAAGTTGGTCCAGTTTAGTTTGAAAAAAACATTTACAGATGGTATTTAAAAGTCACTCATCCATCCCTTTATTGCCTAGCCTACTTCAAGGCTCAGAAGCAGGCTACTGAGGGGAAAACTGAGTTCCTGTTTATTGCTAACATTTATTTGCACTCCAGTCTACTTGGGAAGATGATGCCCATATCATCAATATGGTTTCTTTGTATTTGTTATTAATTGATATCGGTTTTTTCTTAGATGTACTTCTCATGCTGCAGGTACTAAGAGGGACAGTGTGTTAACCAGTGAAATTATGATTTCCTACTGAAATTTTCGGAGCTTTATATTTACCTTTCCCCAAGCAGAAGTAGAGAGACAGAGCTGACCACAGGTATTGCCTACAAATTCTAAACCACATCAGTTTCATTCTGTCATCATAAGTTAAATACTTGTTTGTTTAATGCACAAGTCCCCCAGTTTAAGCAAGCAAGCATTGAGAAATCAATTACGATCTTCCTACAGCAATTAGGGAAGTGTGAAGAAGTCAGGAAAAGTAAATTATCCTCTTATTCAGCTTATCAGAAAGGATGGAGGTCAGCTTTACCAGATGCCTATCAACAAGAGGATTAAACACCTTGCATGGAATTCTGTATCTGACCATGTCTTTGAGGCAAAACATCAACAGGCAGCATCTCCCAGTTCTGATCAAGTTTTGGCCAGAACAAAAAAAAAACATCTCCCAGTTCTGATCAAGTTTTGGCCAGAACAAAAAAAAACAAAGTGTATCTAGAAAGTTTCTCTTAAAGTAATGCTTCACATTCTGCTTCTTTTCTCATTCACCTCAGCAGAAGTTTTCCCTAATACATTGCAGTAAATTTACCACCTCTTTCTTTAAACCCCAGGCTGATACAAATAGCAGCTGATACTCATCTAACACACCTGAATGTCTAAGAAATTCTGAAACTGAAAACTATGATTTAGTCATATAATCTACTCCTCTGCAGAAGGGAAGCTTTCTAGAATTGTGACTGCACTAAGCATACTGCACTGCATTAGCAAGCTACTTGTGATATTGCCACAAGTTTATCTGAACATTTTAAAGTTCTCAGTGAAAATTTTGCTTCATATTTTTTGGTCACTCAGTTCTAATAGTACTGAAAAAGTTTAGTTTAACCATTATGTGCCTCTTAACCACTTGGAGTCTCCAGTGTTAAGTTATAAAAGAACAGCTTTGAAAGACAAAAATTATTTGCCTGGTAAGATAAGATAAGATCAGGAAAAAAAAAAAAAAAACAACAAAATGTCTATCTTTTTTTTGAGACATTGAATTTTTTGTGGATTGAGGAGACAAGCAGAGGTGTGTATTATACAAGCACAATGCAACAGATTTTATTGCAGTAGTTTAGCATATTTGATAAAACATCAACAACTACTGCATCCAGTAAACTTACTTGAGTTCAGGCAAAGGCGACGGATTTATGAAGAGGTTACTGAACCTGTACTTTTTGAATCTTGAGAAGTCAGTGGTTACTGATTCTTTGTGAGGTGTTTCAATAATTATGCAAGGCGAGATGCCTCCAGTTATCGTGGGCGGCCAACAACTCTGCAAAACAAACAAGGTATCTTTAAAATGCTGGTTTTACTGTGAGAGTAAGAAAGGCACGAAGTAGATTATAGTAACAGCAATATATGTAAAGTATGTTAGTCTTTTTGGATCTCAGTATCAATTCAGGCACCGAAACCAAGAAAGACAAATCAAATGCCAATAAAACGTTTCACAGTAAAGAGGGAACATGTATAAACAGATTTGATGGATTTGGGGAACTCAGCTTTGACAGAGACAACCATCTTTAGTTCATGAACCCACAAGTAACCTATTTGTTGCTTGAGTTGCTCAGTTACAGTACAAAAGGCAAAGATACTCATTGGTACTAAAACAGAAGACTGTAGGTTGCTAGTCCTATCTACTTATCTACTCAGAGGGAAAAGAAAGGAGAGGGTGGAGGTTCTACTGTCTCTCAGTGGAAATTCAGCAACTTGTTATCTTCCAATTAAGTGCTCCAGAGAGGAGCCACCCATCTCAGCTCCAGAGCTAGATACCCACTAAGCAAGCAGCGGCTGTTAATACCTCTCAGCCTGCAAATGCCAAATATGGGATGCAATGACTCAAAAGGAAAGAAGTGCAAAGGTATTCATGCAGAAAGCCTCAGAGAAGGAATTCTAGATTACTGTAGTTAACTATAACCTGTTTCACTAACACTTATTTGGCTCTACATAACCAATACAAGTAAGGAGATATCAAATCCAAGGAGCACATGCAATGTTGTAGTGGCTGACAACCTTCAAAATGGTGACACAGAACTTTAATTGTGTGGAGTTGGGGGAGAAATCCCATTCATAAAGAATGGCAACAACAGCCTCTGAACACAGAAACTTTTCCTATATAGTTGACTTGCAAGGTAAACTACACAGGATTCCCTTAGTATATCCAAACCCATTTATAGCCAGACTTCAGTATCCCAAGAGTGAAGTTACATATTCCAGCAGAATTGACCTTAAGGTGCAGCCCAGAGAAAAGGGAGGTCCTACTCCTCCTTCTCTCCTGTGGTCCTCACTGCCCAAGTCCACCCCTTCCTTCTTTGGTCAGCTTTGATGTTTGTCAGACCCTCTGCTGGGTTGATTCAACTCACTAATGTGGCAAAACATTAACTGAACCTGCATACTGCTTCATTCAAAGAGAACCAAAAACAGAGCAAGGCAGGGGATGCAGTGCATGGCCAGCTATCCAGAAGGAGACAGGAAAGCAGTATTTCTCCCTTTCAGCAAAGGTAAGTTGTGACACGCAGTTTCACTCCAAGTACAGCTGATGTACTTACACAGCATTTTTTCCTACTCAAGGTTTACAAAGATAGCCCCACAATCAGAAGAGTTTCACTTCACCAGAGCTGTTAAGTCTCATTTACTTTACAAACTGCAAACAAGATTGTTTGCAAGAGAAACTTATATTATTTTACTAATCAGCTTTAAAATAAATGTCTGTAAAGCCCCTCACTTATTTTAAGAGTAGCCCGTGTTAGTGAAAACAGATTCCTAAATTGATTTAAATAATCAAAAGAACTGTTAAATGAAAGTAAAGACAGCCTGCATGGTTATGAGACAACTAAATGGCCGTGAAACCACACCTAAAGTTAAAACAAGTGCAATGATCTTGTTTAGACTTGCCTCTAGGCCTTATCTGCTCTGCATATGGAATTGTTCTGAAATATCTGGATTTATTCTTTTACACCTAACCTACTCTGCAGTGGTTTTTACATTGAAGGATCCTTTATCTGCAACAAAGTCTCATGTAAAAAAGGCAAAAACATTTAAAGAGGTGCTAAGCTCCCACAGCTTTTTAATATCTGAAGATACAAACTTCCCCTATTCAATACTTTCTGGTGTCAAATGCATGATTTCACACCCATCAACATAAACCAGATGGAGTCCCTCACCTAGTTTGATCTGGTATTCAGGATTGAATTACCTTAATCTCATATTGATGTTTTTTAGCAATTTTTCCATCTTCTCTTTTCTTAATCTCCTGCTGAGAAGAGACACACATCAATACACTGACAGTGAGCAGCACACCCACCTCTAGAGCTCAGGCAAACTTTTGCTACCCCGTCCCACTTTATAACTTGGCAGAGTAAAGACTGTCCCATCCAAATGCACTGGAGAACTTTCAGTATTATTAAACTTTTCAAGTTGCCCAAATAGGTCACCTCTGCTGTTCTCCTTTTTCTGGTCTGGAGATAGTCTAGTGTTTTTAGTTCTTGTGGAGACTCTTCTTGACAGGACAGTGGCTGCTGCTGCTTGGCTTGCAAACGGCTACTGTGAAGAGAAAAAGACATTAGACATTGGGAGAGCAGCAGTTGTTGGATGAGTACAGATAATCTTGGCACAACACTAACAGCTTACCTGCGTCTTGACATCTTCTTTGGGTTTTAAGATCTCTACCTGGATCAAAGGAATAAGATGAGCTCAGATAGTGTATCATACAAAACTAAGACCAAGTTCCCTACTTTGCATCATGAACTCATCACAAAAAGCAACACGGTTTACACAGCTCAAACAGAAGGGCACAAGTACTCTACCGGCCTCAGGAACCCCTGAGCAGAGCATGACTGTGGTATATAACCACACACGGCTCCACGTCCTGCTGCAGGGTGCCCAGGTGTGCCAGTGGCCAGTGTGACTCAGGCTGGATGGGGGTGTGGAGGAAGTTATAAAGGGACATCTCCCACACAAGAGGATGTGGGGGGTCCACGGGGCTGTGACCCCCTCCACTCCTCCCCACCCTCCATTCCAGGTACCCCCACAGACACAGGTTTTGCCGGTGCTGCCGCTCCCCCGGGTGGATTCTCCCCCACACCTGCCGGGTTGGCGGTGCCGCGCTGGGACGGGCCGGGCCGGGCGCCGCCCGCGCTCCCGCCGCGCCGGTTCCGCGCCAATTTCCAGCGAGCGGGGAGGCGGCGGCGGCCTTGCCGGGATCAGGCTGGGCGGGGGGCACCGCCGCCCTCCTGCGCTCCCCCTCCCGCGGGGCCGATCCAGCACCCACCCGCTCCTGAGAGTGCTGAGGGGACGTGTGAGGGGACAGGGCCACCGCCCCGCCCCCCCCGCGCTCCCGCCTGACTGCGAGTGCGGCTCCCTCCAAAACCTGAGGGGGAAGGAAGGGGCTGCCGGGACGGCGCCTTACACGCGGGACACCCACCCCCTGCCAAGACACCCCTCACAGGGACCCTCCGAGGCGGGGACTGGGGCTGTGAGGGGGTGTCCCCACGGGCACCCCACTCCGAGGGCGGAGGCGGGGAAGCGGGGACCAGCAGGGTGCAGCGCGGGCGGCGGTCGGGGTCAGCCCGCCAAGCGGCTCGGCCGGCATCCCCGCCCCCAGCGCGCCCGGCTCCCTCCAAAACCGGGCAGCCCGCCCCCCGCGGGGCTCTCCGAGAAGGGCGCGGGGCAGCCGATGGCGGGATCCCGCCGGCACCCCGCGCTGCTCCCGCCGGGTGCGCTCGCCCGGGCCATCGCCGCTCACGGCCCCCTGTGGATGGGGCCGCTCGTGGGGACATCCTCCCCCAGCCCGCTCTCCTCAGACACTCTCCCTCCAAAACGCTGCCGGGGCGGGCGGGCGAGCAGGCAGCCCGCCTTACTGCTCCCGGTCACTGCTCCCGCCTCACCGCTCCCGCCTCATCAATCCCAGTCACTGCCCCGCGCCGCCGCCAGTGCGCCCCTGACATCCCCCAACACCGGCACCGGGTCTGCCGGTACCGCCACCACCACTACTACCATCATCACCACCATTCTAACCACCACCATCAGCGTTAGCATCACTATCGTTATTATCGCCACGCCAGCCACCCCCCGTCCCTCCCGACAGTACCCCGCGCACCTCTGTCGCTGCCGCCCGGGCCGCACTGCTCAGCTGGCGCCGGCGCCAACCCGCTATATAGCGCGCCGGGCCCGCGCTGCGCATGTGCGAGGGCGGCAGGCGGCTCCCCTGCCCGCCCGCGCCCCGCTCGCCCCAGCGCCGCCCCTGGGCCGCGGGGCCGCGCCGACCCCCGCAGCCCCCGGGACACTCCGCGTCCCGCTCGCCCGCCCCGTCTCTCCCGGCAGAAGCGTCCCGGGAGAGCGGCAGGCAGCGCCGGGAGGAGCGCTGCCACCGCTGCCGCCGCCCGCTGCCTCCCGCTGCCCTGGCACCTCTCCGTCTCCCAGGGCACACCCGGCACCATCGCCCCGCTCCGCTCCACCGGCCCCGCGTCCCGCCGGGACGGCGGCGGCTCCGCCGGCGGCCGCGCGCGCCCCGCGGGGCTCGGCCTGCCCGCCCCGGGGCGGGGCCGCGGCGGGGCCGCCAATGGGAGCGCGCGGAGCGGCGGCAGCGTGCGGCGGGCACGGATGTAAACACGGCCCCGCCCCGCCCCGCGCCCGGGACCGCCGGCGCGGCTGTCAGGAACCGCGGCACCGGCCTCCTGCCCCCCGCACACCGCCCCGCTGCTGTGGAACCGGCACCCTGACACCCTGCCGGCTGTCACATCCCACCGCACACGGGTGGGCTGAAGAGGAGGCTCAGGGGTGACCTCGTCACTCTCTACAACTGCCTGAAAGGAGGGTGTAGCCAAGCGGGGGTCTACCTCTTCTCCCAGGCAACCAGCAACAGGACGAGAGGACGTGGTCTTAAGCTGCACCAGGGGAGGTTCTGGTTGGACATAAGGAAAAATTTCTTCACAGAAGGGGTAATTATACACTGCAATGGGCTGGCCAGGGAGGTGGTGGAGTCACTGTCCCTAGACATGTTTAAGGAAAGACTGGATGTGGCACTGAGTGGCACAGTCTAGCTGACATGGTGGTGTTCAGTCAGAGGTTAGACTCAATGATCTGAGAGGTCTTTTCCAACCTGATTGATTCTGTAATTCTGTGACTGTGTGAACAGTAGCCTTCACCCCACTGTGCTCCCAGGGGCCTGGGCTCTGCCCCCATAGGCCTAGACCTTCTTGTCCAAAAGATTTCCCCAAGGTCCCTTCTTTCCCCTTCCCATTTTTCCACTGTGTTTAACCACAGAGAAACTCATCCTGGCAGAACACAGGCCTCTCCTGAGCACAGCTTCCATGGTCTCCCATGGACAAACTCTATCCCCTGCCGAGCAGCTTTCCACAACTGCCAGCCAGGCCCACCACTGCACCTTGGGGTCCCACCCAGCCCCAAGGCTGCAGTGCCCACCGTGGGAGCACCCACCCTGTAATGCCCTTATCCAGCAGAAGACAATGCTGGAAATTACCCTCAGTGCCAGGCATGCCTTCCAGTCACTGCTAACATCACTCAAGAGTTGCATGGAGTTTTTGTAACAAATATCCTAAAAAAAATCCACACTACCCCAAAAGCAACCAAATCCCACAGCACCATACACTTAACAATGCTTCAAGCACACATTTTTCTTTAAAACACCCAGGATAGGGCACCTGCAGCCATTTTGCTGATGAGGAAGAACTGGTACTTTCTCGCAGTGCAGAGCGCACGTACTGCAAAACAGCACAAAGAGAAGCCATGGCTGCCTTCAAGTAAATCCACGCTTTCGTCATTTTTTTTTCACTTCTGCTTTTTCTTTTCCCAAGTGTAACACTATTAAAGAGTAAACATAGTTTTCACCTCCAGATTACAGTAATTAAGCACAATAACCAGGTCTTATTTTCTTGTCGCTTTGCCATTTTAAAGGGTAAGAGAAGAGAATGGATGCCTCCTTAGTGAGGATGAACATAAAAGAGAGAAGATTTTTTTTTTTTAAGCTTCTGGCAGTACACTACAACTGCTGGGCAGTATTTGTGCTGGGATCTGGCAAGTCCTTTTAGATTAGTCCAGTGGTTTTCTTTTTTTTTTTTCCTAATCACCACTTCTATATATATTCCAGATACGGTGTGAAGGCCTTCCTTAAAAGTTTACACAGCTGATGTCGGTTTCCTTGGTTATCCTTTTATGGATCTATTTCAAGGAGCTTGGAATCTACCAAGGATCTATAAAGCACAAATGAAGATCATGAAGCCATGAGGATCAATCCAGCTACTGACTGTGCTCAATACTGCTCTTCTCCCAGAGTTTTTGAATCCACTTTGTTGTTTCCAAGAGAGTGAGCAGTATTTAATTATAACATTTGCACACAGCTCCATTGTGATATGGGCACAAAATGACAAGGAATGTTGCCTGCCATATTCTTCCTGCCTTGCAGTAAATATTTTACTATGGTCATCTGCTTGTGCTGCCAGGCTTTGTCCTTTTGAGTCACATCCACATTGTCAAAGCTATTCTGTAATTTAGTTAGGGGAAAGGCCTGCTCCAGGACTCTTGTGTGGATGAACTTCACTGTTTTTAAGAGGAGTTTTAAGGTTATTTATTACAGAATGGCTCCAGCTACAGCTACATATCCTAAGCACCATTAAAGCTTTATACCCCTCCTACAGAGGAATACCTTAGTAGGAAGTTGCACACTTCCCAAACTGTACTTTTTTTTCTGTTGAACACCATGAGATAATCTGAAACCCTGAGGTTTGAAAAACCCTTGTTTTCTATTAGAACCTATAATATTCTACTTTCCTGCTTGTTTCATTCAGAGACCCTTTCACAGAATGGGTAAGGTTGGAAGGGACCACAGTGGGGCATCTGGTCCAACCTCCCTGCTCAAGCAGGGTCACCCTAGAGAACATGGTACAGGATTGCATCCAGATGGTTCTTGAATATCTCCAGTGAGGAAGACTCCACACTCTCTTTGTTTTCAAGCAAGGCATGATCCAGTTTAATACACATTAAGGAATATTTTTTTTTTCAACCTGTTATGATCATTAAGTCCAACTCCTGGTGCTGCACAGAACAACCCGAGAGTCATACCATGTGCCTGGGAGTGTTGTCCAAAAGCTTTTTTAATTTTGTCAGGCTTGGTGCTGGAACCACTGCCCTAGGGAGGCTGTTTCAGTGTTCAGCCATCCTCTAGTGAAAAACCTTTTCATGATATCTAACCTAAACCTCCCTGACTCAGGTTCATGCCATTTCCTCAAATCCTGTCACCGGTCACAAGAGTGAAGAGAATGGTAATTGTCCCTCTGCTTCCCCTTATGAGGATGTTGAAGATCACAAAGAGGTCTCCCCTCAGTCTCCTCCAGACTGAACAAATCAAGTGGCCTCAGCTACTCCTCATATGGCTTCCCCTCCAGACCCTTCACCATCCTCGTTGCCCTCCTTTGGATGCTCTCTAATGGCTTAATATCTTTCCTATATTGCAGTACCCAAAACTGCACACAATATTCAAAGTGAGGCTGCACCAGTGCAGAGCAGAGTGGGACAATCCCCTCCCTTGACTGGCTGGCGATGCTTTGCTTGATGCCCCCCAGGACACAGTTGGCCCTCCTGGCTGCCAGGGCACTGCTGACTCATATTCAACTTGCCATCGATCAGGACCCCAAGTCCCTTTCCACGGCACAGCTCTCCAGCATCTCATTCCACTGTCTGTACATACATCCTGGATTGTCCCATCCCAGGTACAGACTCCAGCACTTGCCCTTGCTAAACTTCGTATGGTTGGTGATTGCCCATCTCTAATTTGTCAAGGTCTCTCTGCAGGGCCTCTCTGCCCTCGAGGGAGTCAACAGCTTCTCTTGATTTATGGCATTTGCAAACTTACGTAGTATCCTTTTGAGTCCTGCATCCAGATCATTAATGAAGATGTTGAGGAGCCCTGGGCAACCCCACTAGTGACCAGTCACCAGTCTGATGTTACCCCACTCACTATAATTCTTCATACCCAACCTGTGAGCCAGTTGCTCACCCATTGTGTAACATAGTTATCCAGCTATGTGCTGGACATTTTATCCAGAAGGATACTGTGAGAGACAGTATCAAAAGCTTTGCTGAAGTCTAAAAAGATTACATCTACTGGCTTTACTAGATTAGCTAGGTGGGTTACACTGTTGTAGAAGAAAGTCAGGTTTTTTCCCCTCATGAAGGTGTGCTGGCTGTGACCAATGACTGTGTTGTACTACAGGTGTTTTCCAATACCTCCCAGAACAATCTCTTCTATGATTTTACTGGGTACTAAAGTGAGACTGACAGGCCTGTAGTTTCAGGGTCCTCCTGCTTGAAAATCGGGAAAATGTTTACCAGCTTCCAGTCAAGCTGGGACCTTTCCAGATTCCTAAGATCTCTCAGAAAGAGAGAAGGTTTGCAATGACATCAGCTAGTTCTTTGAGGATTCTTTGATGAATCCCATCAGGCCCCATAGATTTACAAGGAACCAGCTGGAGCAGTAGATCCCACACAAGTTCATGGTCAACTGCCTTCCAGCACAGGGCACTGAGACCCCTCAGTCTATCATCCATGTTGAAGACAGAGGAGAAGAATGCATTAAACACATTTCTGGCAGCTTCAACTCCAATTAAGCTTTGGCTGCACAAATTTTCTCCCTACAGGCAGCATCTCCCTGGCAAGCAGCATCTCTGTATTCTTCCCATGTCACCTGGCCTTGCTTCCACTGGGCATAGACCTTCTTTTTTTGCCTTATCTCCAAGAAAAAATTCCTATTCAGCCAAGCTGACCTTCTGTCTCACCCGCTTGACTTCCAGCATTTGGGAATTGCCTGCTCCTGTGCAGGCGATGTTTAAAAAGTTACCAGCACTGGTGGACCCCAGCTCCTGCAATTACATTTTTCCAGGGGACCTTAATTACTAGTTCCCTGAGGAGCCTGAAGTCTGCTCTTCTCATGTCCAGGGTTGGAGTTTTGCTGGCACTTCTCCTCCCATCAGAGATTTTAAACTTGATCATTTCATGGTCACTGTGGCAAAGACAGCCACCAGTCTCCACTTTGCTCACGAGATCTGCTCTGTTGACAAGCAGCAGATCAAGGAGGGCATCTTTCCAAGCTGCTTCCGTAGGACCTGTTCCATAAAGTTGTCATCCAGGTTTTTTAGGAATCTCTCGGCCCAGGTTGTACCAGCTGTGTGATGCTCCCAGCTAATTTCTGGCAATTTAAAGTCCCCCAGAAGGACAAGGGCAGTTGACTTTGAAGTGTCCCTTAATTCCTCAGAGAATAATTCATTGGCATCATTGTCTTGGCTGGGAGGTCTATAGCAGACTCCCACAATGACAATGGCATTATTTGTTTGCCCCTTGATTCTTTCCCAGAGGCTCTCAGCTGTGCCATTGCCAACTGTAAGCTCCATACATTCCAGCCCCTTCATTACATACAATGTAATTGTACATACAATGCCATGCTTCCACCTCTTCTGCCCTGTCTGTCCCTCCTAAACAGCCTGTAACCATCCAGCCATGTCAAACAGCACCCCGAGGTCCTTTTCCTCCAGGCAGCTTTTCAGCCACTCTTCCTCCAGCCTGTAGTGCTGCATGGGGTTGTTGTGGCCCAAGTGAAGGACCCAGCTTTTCACCTTATCAAACCTCATACCGTTTGCCTTGGCCCATGAATCATTCTCAGACTAGCACCACAGACAGAAGAGCTAGAGCTGAAATTCACTGCTGGGACTAGACAAGGGGATACCTCTGCCCATATCAGTCCCCCCTGTCTTAATCTCATCTTCTTTATTCACCTTGCAAAAATTGACAGCTGTTGGCCAATACCCACAAACACCCACCTTTTTCTGCTGCTACTAATTCTCTACAGAGCCCTGTTTCAGGGAATCTACAGTTCTTTTAGCACTCAGACTTATTTTTGGGCATAGTGATATTTTTTATTATACTGTCTAACTAGGTCATCTTGCTTGGACACAACAATTTGAAGTCTATACAGGAGAAATGTAGACTTATGGCACAGCCCATGTCTGCAAGTTGAGATCTGAAGCCTGCTTCTGGCCACTAGCCTAGTTTTGTTACTCTTATCTGTTTTGGTTTGGGTTTTTTGTTGGTTTTGTTTTTTGGTTTTTGGTTTTTTTTTTGCTATTATTCCTTTTCCTTAACTTGTTCGTGAAGTTATGGTATAGTTATCTGCCTCATTAAGATATTTGAGTGTTCAAATATCAATCTGTCCACAAAACTTTCAAACGAGTCAAGAGATGAACTTTTGAAGTACTAGTTATACAGCAGTAATTCCAGGACAGGATTTTCATAAAGAAAAAGGCTAGCTGAGAAACAAAATGTTATACACATCCTGTTAAGTCTCAGTTCAGTTTCATTTACTCTAAGACTGATATATCATGACCACACTATGGGAACAACAGTGCCACAGCAGCACCAACATATTCTTTTGATCAATCATTTCTACATGTGTCAAAAAGCCTGAACCTTCCTTGCAAGTATCATGCAATAACAGAAGTCACAACATTTTTTGGTTATAAACATGCACCAGAAGTCAATGAGACAAAGAAAGCAGATACTGAACAACTTGATGAGGAAAAAGAGTGACTTCATTAGTGTTAAATGTTAGAGAGAACCATAATTACCACATTATCTTCATCAGAGACATACAAGAATTTATATAAACAGGAAAGCTAGAATGTGAAGTGAGAACTTTAACCGATAGAGTTACATTGATATGACCCTTTATACGAGCATTTTTGTCTTAGCACAAAGAAGTTTTGAAAAACACTAGTTCACGGTGTGTTGGAGAGTGTCCAAGCTAAATTTAAAAAGCTGCATTAGGCCTGAACTAAGAACCCTCAAGAGGAACAGTATCAACTTAGTTGTGTTAGGTTATCTGCATGGATACTGTTATACAAGCATAATTGATCAAACTTTCTTCTGCAGAATACTGTACAGCTCTTAGCACAGATTTGGTGTTTTGATAAATGTACGGGACAAAACCTACATTTGAAAAGGAAAGATTTTACTCAGTGCTTACTCTGGGAAGATGGATGCTTTGTTGCACAAATTCCTTTTCACTGCTGTCAGTTAAATAGATCATTTTGTCAACCAGTTTGTTCGGTGGGTGAGTTAGGAACTACTTGCAACAACTGAGCCCATACAAATCCATGCAGTGCAGAAGCTTGTATCCAGTATGCTGAGAGAGCTGGCTGATGTCCTTGCAAGGCCACTCTCCATGATTTTTGGAAAGCCACAGAGATCAAGGATCCCTGATGACTGGAGGGAAAAAAAAACATTCACATAGAGTTTCAGAAAAAGCCCAGATAACAACCTGGAGATCACTGAGCTTATTTCTTCCATTCAAGTGGAATTTCCTGTATTTCAGCTTGAATCCATTGCCATTTGTCAGGCACCACTAGAGAAGGTCCTGGCTCTGTTGTCTTTTACACCCTGTCAGGTTATACACCTTGACAAGATCCCCCGAGACTTTTCTTCTCCAGCCGAAACACTAACTCTCATCCTCTCCCCCTTATTTCAGTCTTCCATCCTATTATCATCTCCTTGGCCTCTTGCTGGATACTCTCTAGTATGTCCATGTCTCTTGTACTGGGGAGCTCAGCACTGGACATGGCCTTCAGATGTGTCTCACCAGCTCAGGGTGGACCAGCAGGATCACTTCCCTCCACCTGATGGCAACACTCAGCTTGATGCAGCCCAGGAGTCTGAGTTTTTGAGGCCACAAGGGTGCACTGCTGGTGACACACTCAACTTGGTGTTCACCGGGACCTCCAGGGGCTTTTCTGCCAACATGCTTTTCAGCCATTTGGCTTGGTGCCTGGGGTTATTATTGCTCCAGGTAGAAGACTTCATATTTTCCCTTGTTGAACTCCACAAGGTTCCTGTGAGCTCATTTCTCCAGTCTCTTAAGGTCCTTCTGAATGACAGCACAGCCCTCCAGTGCATAAACAACTCTGCCCTATGAGCCAGGTTTTTAATGAAGGTTTCTAATGTGTAAGAACCTGTACTGATAGGGAGCACCAAAGAAAAAAAAAAAGCTTTTGGCTAGGCTTCAACTTTGAGCACAGCAGTTCAGCTAGCTCTCAATACACCTGCTCACCATGGACTTTACAGTCCATAACTCATCAGTGTGGGAGGATGTTATGGAGGACAGTGTTAAAAGCCTTGAAGTCAAGATAAACAACATCCAGTGCTCTCCCCTCATCCCCTGAGCCAGTCATCTAACTGTGAAGGCTGTCAGGTTGCCAGGCATGCCTTCCCCTTCCATAAATCTATTCTGGCTACTACTAATTACCTTATTGTTCATCTTTGATTTCCAGGACTATTAGCTCCAGTACCTGCCCAGAGATCAAGGTAAGAAATGCTTGAAGAGGTGGGCCATACACAGATCTATGGCACACGTCCATGACTGCTGAAGGAGCTGGCTGATGTCATGGTGAAGCTGTTCTTAATTATCTAAAAGGTTATAGCAATGGACAGGATTCCTGAGTGATGGAAGAAAACAAGTGTCCTTCCTATCTTAAAGACAGACATGAAGAATAGGGGGATCTACAAGACAGTCTTACCTTGATCTTACCTTCTCATCCAAGGGTTATTCTTCCTTGCTGTAGCATTTTCCACTGGCCTCAGGGGCCTGCAATCCCAAAGGCTGGTCTTACCACTAGAGACCAAGGCAAAGAAGACATGAAGTACCTCAGCCTTCTCCATGTCCTTTGTCATGTGGATTCCTGTTCTGCTTGGCAGCAGGCCCACACTTCCTCTAATATTCCGTTTGCAGCTGCAACACCTGTTGTCCTCCACATCCCTTGCCAGGTTCAGCTAGGTAGATCTGCTTTGGCTTCCCTAGCCCCATCCCTGGACATTTACACAGGATCTCTACATCCCTCACAGGTTACCTGTACCAGCAGCCTTCCACACAGACTTTTTCATGGTGGTACATGGCAGGAAAAACCTTCCACCCACCCCATGCCTGCTTCATGTGTTTTTATGTCTGTTCTGTTCTCCTACAGAGCTCCCACATGCTGATCAGGAAACACAGCAGTTGGCAGAGATGTGTAACAGTGCTCAGATGCACGTTATCACTTGATCAGCAATGCAAACCCATTCCCAGAGTAACTTCTGTACTAGAGCACACATTGAGACACTCAGTAGTTGTGCCTGCTACCTGAATGGGGTGCTCAGGCATTTGGATTTTGACCAACCTCTAATATTAAAGAATAGACTGACAATTTTTAATAGGCCATTTTTTATTGAGAGTTAAGATCATGTTTCCCCATGGTGCACAGGATGCACGATGAAAACAAAATACAGAAGATCACTTTAGTAAATACACACTGGTTAAGCAATGCTACTTTTTGGCAAAGTGCTATATTTTGTCTGTTTTCAGCTTGTGTTAAACTATTAAAAATAAGAGCCAGACATTCTTCCATATCAAAAGGACTGCTACAAATAGAGAAGTGGCTCTGGAGAGAAGCTGCCATATATGCATAGACTGATGTACAGTATTAATCCTAACTGAAATGTCCCTTTTGAATCTTCAAGTTTGCTGCGTAGAAGGCACAGTTTAAAATGCAAATCTGTCCATTGACCAATATGTGTGAAAATACAATTTCAGCAAAATTCATGAATATCAATCAGTATGAGACAGTGCAAGGCCTCCACTTTTACAAGAAAAAACCCCACACTTTAATACAACTTAAAAAACCATATAAAAAGCCACACAGCTCACTATTAAAACAGAAAACCAAAACAAATCTAATTGCCCAATAGCTCCAGGCACAAAACAGGGCTAGACCAACATAAATATGTAAAACAAATTAACAAAAAGCCATTGATGCAGTACTATCTCACACAATAATATGGTTTCCAATATTACAAATTGAGAAGCACAGCTTTGTGCAACAAAATAGTTTATATCCTGAAAGATATAGGTTTTCATCACCAGAAAGTCATCTAGTAATGTAGTATAAAAAGATCAGTATCTCCCAATTCTAGGAGCAGTCTAAAGTTGCATTTATTTGCCTACTGAGAAGAACAGACCAAGGCTCTCATTGTAATGCCTGGGAGCCTTATGCCCTCACTCCATCTCCCTGTTAAGAGCTAAGGGATTACTTACTCCTTCCAACATAGGGAGGTGGAGACTCCATCTTCCTTCATTTCACTTTAAGAAAATTAAAGCTGAAGGAAAGTATTTACCTTATATAAAGAAAAGTAATACAGGAAAGCAAAGAATTTTCCTGAGCTAGAAAGTTGGCAGTGAGGAGACGGAAGTTTAAGCCAGACAAAAAGCTGGAGTGATAAAGGTAGATAATGTGAGGGCAAGTAAGAGTACTTGTGAACAGGTAAGAGACTGGTGAAACTACAGCTATCTGCAGATAAACCAGAGTATTTGGACCAGAACAGAATTGTTGTATAGACATGGGCACATACTGCTGAAAAGAACAGTAACAAAATTTCTGTTTTGGAAACTGACGATGTGACTTATTTTATTTTCTTTCAGTGTCCATGTGAATTCAATGTGTAAAAAAAAAAACAAAAACAAAAACAAAAAAAAAAAAAAAAAAAAAAAAAAAAAAAAAAAAAAAAAAAACACTAGTGTGTCCAGGAAAGCACCTCTTGCTTTTATACATTTAACTATTTTTCAACATCCCTTTGCAACACTCCTAACTACTTNCACTAGTGTGTCCAGGAAAGCACCTCTTGCTTTTATACATTTAACTATTTTTCAACATCCCTTTGCAACACTCCTAACTACTTTCAGTGAAGCAGCACATCTGCAGTGAAATAGAGGTTATGAATGCTGTTTCCTGTATGCCAAGTAAGTTCCACTACAATTCCAGCTGCAGAATGTGCAACAGTACCACTATATCAAGGTCAATCTGAATTGTTGGGGTTTTGCTTCAGTGAAATTGAAGCATTTGGCTGAATTTAAAATACTTCATAGGTCTGGAATAATTCACATTATCGACCTCACCTGATTTCAAAGACTCCCCACGTGACTCCTTATACCAACTTCTGTATAAGGACTACTGGAAGACACAGTTGAGTGTAATGTTAACACTTTAATGCCCTAGGCACTAAACACAAGGGAAAACACAGTAAGTCACATTAAGCACTGAAAGAAAGGAGGATAAACTTACTTATCATTCCCCCCTTCTTTCAGTGCAGATTTCTGCTTCCTCACCTCCACGCTCATTTAATCCACTTCCCAGACTGATCTATCAGGGTTCAGCACGCTGTATGGCTGCTATGGAACACAGTTTTTGTGTGCAGGTGAACTTTACTTCACCTGTAGTTGTAGTTAGCAGTGCCTGCCAACTTCCAAAACATCTTGCACAGTGTTCTTAAGAAAACTACTTGTTAGTTTTGAATGGCTTTTCTTTCTTGTTGGCCCCAGTCCTGCCTCCAATGGGCTAGGAGAACCACCACTGCTGATCAATTTTTACACACCCTGTTATCACTGTGTTTAGTTCTCTAAGACTGTTTTCCAGCATCTGCTTCTCCCTGCCTCACACTGCCCTTCATTTCAAGTCCCCATTAACTCGGACTTCATTTTCATAGAGAGAAAGAGAGAAAATTAGGAGAACTTCTAATGAAAGCCTCCTTCTAGCTATTTTTGGGCTACTCTCAATCTGTAAATATCAAGACAATCTAACAGCAACTTGTAGCTCAGAAATAGCTGTCCATCAGCAGTCAGCTACTGATGGGACTAAAAGAATAGTCAAGCCACCATCTTTTTTCTTTAACTAGACTAGAGATTAAATGAGATAGGGTAGGGGAAATACTTGTATCAAAGACAGAAATAGTTAGAGAAAGGAGTAAGAACTCAAACTGTACCAAGTAAAACCCAGTTCAGTTCTCTGTGTTGTGCATCTGCACTTTACCCATAGGTCCACTTATCTTTCCACTCCACTGTGAGGTACTACATCTGTAACACCGGTGCCATATCATACTGCAACAATATTGGGGGGACATTTAACCCTCTTCCAATATCCATATCAAGTACCCAACACACCTGCACAGACTCCACTAACACAAGTAGGTACTAGGCAATTTAGATGAGATGTCCTTCTTGCAACAGCTCAGCACAGCTATGTAATATCCACTGGCAGCTATAGAATTTCCTCGTTAGAAAGTAATCATATATGCTGAATACAGACAGATACACAAGCTGTCAAGTACTGGTCATTAAAGCATACGGCTAACCTCAATTTTTCTAACTCCATTTTGATTAATGCAAAATGTAACTGATTTCCATCTCAGTTAAGTTTCTTTAAAATACTAACTAAGAACCCATCTATACATCATAGTTTATAAAACAGCACACAAACTATCGTACTGATAGGCTTCCAAGACATTGATATTTAACATCAACATTCATAACTCGCTGCAAGACGTTTGGAGATTTATGTGTCTTTTCAAAACAATGCAACACTAGTTATGATTGTGTTTGAGGGATTGACAATCAGCTTCAGATTGACTACACTTACCTACACGTGAAAACAAGAGCAACCTAAAAAACAATTAGACCATAGATTAAAACCACAAGAACCATCAGTAATTGAACTGACGCTGGCAAGGCTGGTGAACAAACAGTCCGTTGTGCTTGATTTGCCGAGAGTGGCAATCCCTGGTAAGATTTTGGCGACGGAGACTGTTTCTTTTGAGACAGTGTCTTTCATTATGTTCTTTTATCCAGTGGGTAGGACGAAAGCTCTTGTTTTTTTCCAGAAAAGTTGAACGAGTAGCAAGAGCCGTGACATAGCAGTGAACACGCTGTCCTGTTTCATTTCGGGCCTCCAGTCTAGAAATGTAACAACAGATATCAGTCATTAAGGAGGTGCACTCGAGATTCAAGTAAAACAAAGGGTAGAACGTGAAGATCAACACCTAGCATTTCAAAAGGGCACCCTTATTCTACTGGACAGAGATTTGGGCTGAGGTAAGGTCAAGCCACTTACCACACTGGTAAGTAATGAGTAGTGCTGCCAATTCACTTTCTGTGTGAGGGCTCCACAACAGCCTTTGGACTTCCACCATCTTACACTATCATGCTCCTCCTTACCCACCCCAGCTCCCTAAGCCCGAGATGCAATACACATCAGAAACACAAGGCAATGTGTGTCACACTGCTCCAGCTTTAGAAGACTTGGAGTTATCCATCAGGCAAAGTTTGGTTTTAAATCATCTTGAACATCTCAAACCATGACAGTGGTTCAGCCTGAAAGCAGAAGCACACTAATGAAAGTGCATTTCAACTGCCAGCCACACAAGTAAATCCAAACAATGTTCATGCAGAGGAATGAGAAAGATAGATCAGTTGTGACACACACAGGAAATAACTTAGAAGGATTGTTCCTCAACCAGCCCTCTAAATTTCATGAGCAGAGAGTCAGCAGTTTTGGCAAACCCTTCCTTCGTCATGCAATAGTGAAAAACAAACCAGCAGCCTATGCAAGCAGGGACTGACATATTGAAAAAGGACTTCCCTACTTGACAGAACAATCACTGGCACTTCCTGAAACTTCAAAAGTAAAGTTAAAAATAGCCTGGCCATTTTAGCAAAGCAAAACCCAAATCTGAGTGCTACAGCTGGTGCAAGACCAGTGGCATCAGAGCTGCTTGCCTTCTCTCTTCCCACCCAGGACCCAACAACCAGCTGTCAACTGGCGAGTGTGCTCAGGAAAGATGTCTGCAAGACCAGGAACTTGCTCAGGCACAAGCAAGAGGTCTCTTGGGAAGTCTGTTTTTCGGCACTACCATGACTCTTCTGGAAGGGCTTAAACTGCACTTATTGTATGCAGTCTCTGTAGACGTAAATCGGGTCTGCCATGTCCATGGTGTGCCCTTTGCAGCCTTACCCTTGGGGGGCTGACACAGAAGTGATCTCTTCTGCCTCCCACCACTCCACACTGGAGGGAATTACTCCTTGTCAGCAAGGGAATACTCCCTGCCTTCTACCTTTTTTTTTTTTATTTTAAATATCCTAATCTTGCTTTTAGATCCTTGGGTAGCTAGATATGACTGACTGAAGACTAGACACAGCACAACAGCCAAATATGACAAGCTGATTTTCCCATTTACTCACTGGATATTGTCCTAAACCTAGCACTTAAAATATCAAGCAAGAAATAAGTGAATAACACAGCACCAATCAATTCACAGTGCACTGTAAATATGTTCTATGCAGATTACACCAGTTTAATATAGATGAGGGTACCTGCAAATATGGGGCTACTATTTTCTATATGGGGCGATCCCTCAGCACAGTCAACAGTGCTGGAGGTGGAACTTCAAGTGAAGCTGTTCTGGGGAAAGCTGTAAGGAGCCAGGAAGCCACAGCACAATTATTGCAACCCATATTTCCTAAGCAAACTCTTAAACTAGCAAAGGGCAGCAACTGCTAATACAAACTGTTGTGGTTTTGTTATGGAAAAATATGACTAATCTGACAAACAGGGGGAAGTTTATACAACATCCTTTTGCTTTGAAAGGAATTTAAAATGAGAAAATAGATTTCCTCCACAAAAGGAGAAAAACTGGTTTAAAGTTGCAGGTGGAAGATACTTAAGCTTATCAAATACCCTTCCAGCACTGGTTTGCAAACCAACACTCTTCTATTTGTCAACATAAAGTGAAACTGGGATAGCACAGGTGGTTTGAATTGGCTAAAAGGCCACACACTCTTCCAAAATGTAGCATTTTGGTACCTTAGTTGCCTTTGGTAGCCTGGCACTAGCAAGCCCTATGCACTGAGAGAATAGGGCTGACAAGTCTCCATTGATATTGCCAAAATAGAGTTTTAGAGGGGCTGTGTCTTAAGCCAGACCATCACTATATACATTCACTGCTGCACTCCCACCATCTATTCTGCTAGAAAGCAGAAGTGTTCTGCTAATTGCACTACAGAGCCAGACCTCACAAGAAACATTAAAGGCTTCAGACCCCACCCCAATTAATATTTCAGTAATTTTTCTGCACTTAGCATTTTGGCTTGTTAAAGCAGCTGTAGTTAGGCTTGATCAAGTAACATCATTTGGCACAAAGGTTAGTCCTAAAACCAGTATTGCTTTGGCAGACAAGGCTCTAGAGGAAGCAGTGTTGCTAGCAGCCTGATCAAACAAAAAGCACTGTCCCAAAACAGTAGTACTTACTGTGCCAGTGTGCCTTAAGCAGCTTTTCTTGGCCCTATAATGTTAAATGGCCAACCATTAAACCACTAGAGACTTCAAAACAGCTTTTGAAACTTACTGCAAAATCAGTGTAATCAACATTCCCAGTTTCTGCAGTCTACCTCAGCTTTAGACTTGTCTTGTCCCAGTTCTGCCACCCAAAGTAACCAATAAAAGAGCCTAGATCTTCTGACAAAGCAACAGCACAGACTTCAGTGTGAAGAAACCTAATTACATGCCAGCTGAAGATCATCATACCTTTAGCTTCCCCCCACATTAAAGCAGCTTAACTGTACTGTATGAGACAGGATTATTCTCCAGAAGAATTTATACCAGTATCCCTAGTTCAAGTTACTGAAAAGTCAGTATCCAGCTTTGAGTGTTACACTGCAAATTGGTATTTTAGATAAACTGGTTTACTGTCTTTTTCCAGGGCATGACTTGCAGCCTCCAGTTCTTCTGCAGTTAATTCAGACCCTCACTTTAAAGGTGCTGTGTGCTCATAGTTTCTCCCTGTTTAAGTTAAGCTAGACCCCTGATGCTTAACATCATAAACTGCCCTCCCCAATTATACAAATCCTCCACCCAAAGACCAACAGTATCAGCACTATACTTCAATATTATACAGCAGCACATCATCTCAAAGTCATATGTTTCTTTGAACTAAGAACTTAAAATACAGAAAGGAGCTGATCAGAGAAGTCAATAGGCATCTACCTGCAGCAACTTCACCCTACACTCATTTCTTCCTGTATATCAAAACTTAGTATACTATAATCTTTTCTCTTTTTATTTTTCTCTGTTTGTTTTGTTCTCTTTTTTATTATTGCTTCTAGACATAAGCAAAAATAAGCTGGGAAGAAAAGTCAGTCTTTGTTATTAACTGGGATTCACAAAACACCCAATTATTTCAAAATCAATGAATGCATGGGCATTTGTATACATCTACGTATACTATATTTGTATAGCTGTACACACAAACACCAAAGAAGCAGTGCATGGCAAACATGCCTCTGCAATAACCCCACATGGTCAGATTTTTAGGACCCAAAACCAAAAAGTACAACTTCTTACTTTGCTAAAAGCAGAAGTTTACAGCACAAAGTTTTGTGAAATATTTTGGGTTGCTTTTGTTTCACAAGCTGCTTGTGGAAAAATTTAATCCTATCCTTATCTATCACTATGTTGAGGAACAAAAAACACCCAAAAAACCAAAAAACCCACCCAAAACCCAAGACCCTAGATTGCATCTCACAAGGTGACTGAATAGGTATTAATCAGCAGTTATGAAAGAAACACAGAGCTGTGAAGGGGGCAAAGTGCTTTCATATGTACATTACTGGATATACAGTGAACTGCCAGCAGTTTCAACACGATTGGGACATATTCTGCAAGGGAGTAATTAGGCTCCATCAATATTCACTGTAGTATCAAAATAGCATACCCAGCTGTTTCCTGACACAGTCATCTTGTATTAACATTTTTCTAAGCAGGCAGGCAGCCCTGACCACCTTGTGTAGTATTCATGCTTTATTCACCTGCTCTGAAATACGCTGGAAAATTCAGTATTAAGTGTCTAAGTTGATCAAGTAGAAACCAGATATTTTCAGGAACAGAGCTGCTTGACAAGAGAATTCACACATACCTGGGACTACCTGGGCTGTGAAACTCCTCATCTCCACATCCAGTCTCATTAAGGCTGTGACAGGCATTATGGACAGCATACACAGACATGCTGGGATGCTCTATTAGGAGGTTCTCCATCGGACTGGTTTCCACCTTGATAGTGGTCAATCCACCTGCAGTAAAACATGGGGGAGGGGTAATAAACCAGCTCTCCTCCATAGGACATGACTCAAACTGGATGAAGCAAGACTCGCTGGCCTCCGGCAAGTGTTCCAAGGGAGACGATAAACAAGAGAAGACGGGTGAGCCATCCGTGGCTGATTCTTCAACAATGTCTGCTTCCTCCACAGAACAATTAGTGCAAGTGTCTGCTGTAGGTGACCATTAGTCAGTGGAGAGGAACCCATAGATGTTGGTGATCACAGGAGGTCAAAAACAGAATACGAAAAGAAAAAAAAAACAAGAAAAAAACAGAAATAAACCTCTTATTAGCACATACACAAGTTTTTACTTTATAAAGCAAGAGAGGAAAAAAGGCAAGCCATGTTAGACATGTGAAGCAACTGTTATCAGTAAAGCTATATAATTGCGTAATAAGTCAAATATACTTTATCTGTACAGGTGGTTCTGCTGAATCTGTGTCAGGCTTATAAACCTGACATCATTCTTCTCACCAGTTTACTCAACATGTTTTAGTACATTTGTTTGGAAGACACCCTATACTCTAATCCCACACTGGTTTTACTTAGATAAAGGTTCTCCAAGCTACTGGTTTGTTCACCTGGAAGTAAGACAAACAAAAGCCAGAGCATGACAAAGGCAGAGCTTATGTCTGACAGACATCTTACCTATAAAGTCAACTAGAATCCACTCGTCGTCTTCTTTCTCACTGAACTCTGGCTCTTGGCTGGACAAGCTATCAATCTCTCCCATGAGCATGTTATTTAACCTCTGAAACATTACTAAGGCAGGAACAAGACTTTGGCTGGTAGGTCGTTACATCCAAGGTTCAAGGCACAGCTAACACTGTACTAGCAGAGTGGCACAGACTTGAGATTAAAGTGCATAGATGCTTTATCAGCTTAGGTACGGGACATGCAGAGGCATGACTTGTAAACAGTTTATGTGAACCTGCAAAAAATGATGACAAGGGTCTTAATGACAAAGCAACAGGTAACAATCCCAGGGGAACAAGTTACAAGCCCCCTTGCTAGTGTAGTCAGAGCTCCCAGTGAATATTTTCCTCAAAGAGGAGAGGCAGGTTCACTGGTATTCACAATCCCCTCCCAGCTAGATATGTATTAAAAAAACCAAACAAAAAACCAAAAACCAACAACACCAAAAAGGTCTCCCATGGGAGCTGATTGCCTTCCCCTCAATCCTCTTCCCCATGGAAAGGTCTGTTCAGTTGTCAGTCTCACCTTCTCCTAAGAGAGGGGAGGACTCTTGTACGGGAGCCTTGTGTCTATGCTCACCAAGGTGCTCTCCCAGCTCCCTGCCTGTCTTCCTCCGGGTCAGAGGGGGATGTGAAGGGCAAGTGCATATTTTTGCTCCAGACAACTCATCTCCTTTGTTGACAAAGAGAAGCCCCTGCGAGGGCTCTCAGGGAAGCTTAAGGCAGTGTTTCTTCTCTCTCCCATCACACTCAGTTCAGGGCCACTGCCTACAAGTTAACGAAGTAGGAAGGCACATCCTGTCTTCAGGTTCAAAGTGCACCAGTTACCAGTGGTAAGTGGTTTTCACAGCAAGCACCCAACTAGTCATGTAGGGTAAGTCTAAGGAGCATGGAAAAGTATCATGTATGCTAATTAAACCCAATGTTTATTTCTCAATACATTTCCCTAAATCTACATGTAATTGGTCACCATAAGCCTGAACTCTGCATTTGGCAATTAAGATGAAAAATCCCATTAGTACCAAGAAGTTGAATGTTCAAACACCTCAGATCAGCATGCTTACAGCCTTTGATATTTATATATGAGCCAATGAGGAGAAGCCATTAAAGTAGCTAAAAAAGTAAAGACTATGGGAAATATATCCACTGATTTCACTACAAGTTAATTTTGCCATAGTAATATTTGAATCATCACAGCATGTCAGAATCATTACAGATTAAATACCTGCTTGATAATTTAACAGAGAAGAATATATGCAGGTAAGACAGTATGAGTGCCTGCATTCAGAAAGAAAGAGAAAACACACTACACTAGACAAACTCAACCATTAAAAGAAGATACCACCCATTAAGATTATTATTTAAGGCCAGTAATCCCTGTGTCACCCTAGAACTTTCAGGCACACTAAAGGTTCATTTGGGCCTCCTATGTCATCTTATCCCAGGACACCAGACCCCATCACCTACTTTTTCAATGCAAGGACAAGCACCTGCTCCATACAGTACTGCTTCTGTACACATTTATGCAGCTTCCTCCTTATTCAAATAGCACAAAAGAATAGGAGTAGAATTTAAAGTAGTCTTCAGCAGCAATATGGAAAGGTACAGCAAAACTCAAGAAGTTATGCACACTAGTTCCTCAACAGAAACTATCAACTACAGGAAAAAACAAGACCAGAAACAACTGGCTCAGCTGCAGCTGTGAAAAAAGTCTATTTTTAAGGACCACACTTAAAAATGAAACGTCAGGGCTCTCTTTATGACAGCTACAAAAATGATCAGAAGTCTAAAGAAAACTGATAAAATTTTAAAAATGGAAAGGCTTAACAGAGGGAAGGCAAAAATTACAACAGTACTAAATTATGTGAAGAAAGAGGCAAACATTTATTGCCACCTTGTACACTCAGAGCAAGCAGAAGTGACTTTAAACTGCACTAAAGTTCAGCTTTCAGTGGTTACTGGCAGGAAACACTTTTAACCATTAAGGTTGCTAAGCCCTGGATGGGTTACCTAAGGAAATGCCAAATGCCCACAGTGTTCCTAAGCACCTTCTTGAGAAGGTTTGAGTGCTTCAATTATAGGCAGAGCTTACCACGGATATGGAAATGAACTCTGAGTGAATGCTTGAAGTCTGTAGCTTTCCAGCTACCTTCCACTTCTTTCCCTAACACTCTCCTGGCACAAGGCCTATGAAGAAAAGAGTTTGTTTTTTTTAGGCTAACTAGCAAGCCACCGCACAGCTGCTGATCAGCACTGGCTTTCCCTGTACTCCCACACACATGTGCTGCCTCCTTCCTAGATCAAGCCTGAAGGTACCTTCAGGCAGAGGCCGTCTTTTTGTTGTTGCAGAGTGTAGAAAGATGAGAGCTGACACTCCTATATTAAGTCCCGAGGCATCACAGCAGCATCAAGTAATTAGCTTCTAACAAGCAGAGATCACTGTTCCTGAGAACATAAGCTAAACAAACATCAGCTTTTGACCCACAACTGTCTTTCTATAGATCAAAAGCAGTTTGCTCCATTTTCCCCTTCCCCCACCCCAAGGAGGATCTAAAAAAACATCTGAATCATTCAGATACCGGTTGATGTTTTGACATCCTTTTGGACAAGTGCCTTTAAAAAGGCCACGCTCATGTGCTATTGTGCAAGTCAGAAGGCGACCAAGAAGTTACACTGTTATCCAGGGCCACCGTTCGGGGAGGAAAACGGGACAGAGACCGAGAGAGATTTTCAAGTTCTTAGGCAGGAACTATCAGCTGCAGAAAAACATAAGGCTGGGAAGAACTGAGTCAGCTGTAGCAATGATTAAGAGGCTGTTACAGATAACATATCCAATGAATGTCAACAATAAAGTATCGCTGCACTAAAAAGAAGTATTTTTTTTTCTTTTTTTTTTCCTAACCTAACAAAGGAGACGCGGTACATGCTAAGCAAAAATCAAACAAAACCCAAAAATGACATCCCCAAGTCACTGTGCAGTTCTCTGCCAGAGCGAGCCGAACCCTGATCCCCCCGTGCCCCACCTCACAGCTCTTCCACCACCACCAGGAGGCTCCCAAAAGCCGCTCCGAGCGGCGCCGGGGGTGACCCGGCAGCGCCCGCAGCAGCTGCGCACCTTCCCGGCCGCGCTCCGGGGCTGGGCGGGAGGCACGGAAGGCACTGCCGCTGCTCCACAGCCGGGAAAACGCCAAACACTTCCCGGCCCCGGCGCCTTCCCGGCAGAGAGAAGCCGGGATGGACGCACGGGGAAACGGGAGCTCCGCTGTTGCTACTGGTTTTCAGAGCGCAGGAAACCATCACAGCCGGGTCAGCGGCAGTGCCCGGTGCCCGCGGTGCCCCCACAGCGAACTCACCGGACCGCAGCTCCCCCGCTCCGCGTCCCCGGCGCCTCCGGAGCCCTTTGTTGTCACGGCCGCGGCGCCGCTGACGGACCGGCCGCCGGCCACGCCCCCCGCGCCTCCGCCAATGGGCGCCGCCACCGCCTGTCGCTAACGCACGTGACGGGCGGGTGGGCAGCGGAGGGGGCGGGGCCAGCCCGCCCAGACCCGCCCTCCGCCCGCCCGGCCCCGCCCCCGCGCTGAGGGCTCGGGCTGGAAGGGACTCTAAAGATCATCCCATTCCAAGCCTTGCCCTGGGCAGGGACACCTTCCACTAGACCAGGCTGCTCAGAGCTCCTTTCAACATAAACATGTCCAGCAATGGGGCATCCACAGCTTCTCTGGGTAACCTGTTCCACTGCCTTGCTACCCTCATTGTTAAAATCTATAAGGTCTCCTTGGAGCCTTCTCCAGGCTGAACGACCACAGCTCTCTCACACTTTCCTCACAGGAAGTGTTCCATCCTACTAATCCTCTTGGTGTCCCTCCTCTGGAGCCACTCCAACAGGTCACAGAATGACAGAATTGGTCAGGTTGGAAGGGACCACAATGGGGCATCTGGTCCAACCTCTCGGCTCAAGCAGGTCATCCTAGAGCACGTGGCACAGGATTGCATCCAGACAGTTCTTGAATATCTCCAGTTAGGGAGACTCCACAACCTCTCTGAGCAATCTATTCCATTGTGTGGTCACCTGCACAGTAAAGAAGTTCTTCCTCATGTTCAGGTGGAACTTCCCATGCATCAGTTTCTGCCCTTAGCCCCTTGTCCTATTGCTTGGCACCACGAGTAGAGCCTGGGTCCTTCCTCTTGACACCCTCCCTTCAGATACTTACAGACATTGATGAGATTCCCTCTCAGCTGTCTCTTTCTGAGGTTGAACAGGCCCAGTTGCCTCAGCTTGTCCTCGTAACAGAGATGATCCAGTCCCTTGATCAACTTTGTAGCTCTCTGCTGGACTTTCTCCAGGAGTTCCATATCTCTCTTATGAGGTTCATGTCCTTCCTGTTCTGAGGACTGGACGCAGCACTCCAGGTGGGGTCTCACAGGAGCAGAATAGAGGGAAAGAATCACCTCCCTCAACATTTGTAAGGCTGAAGCACCTTAATTGGGCTGTAAAGTTTCCAAGTCACACACCTGAAGCCCTAGAAAACTTGTGCATTAGGTCACTTACCCCCTTCTTTTCTTTTACGAAAAAAGAAGAGGCAATGAATGTAAATGCAGCACTTTTCCTTTTAGCTGCACATCTCTCTGAAAGGAATTTCCAGGCAGTGAAGTTACTGCCCAGGAGAGCTGGTGTGGCTGTGCTGCACACCTTCAGTCACTTAATACAACTCTGAATATATCAGACAGCTAATAGTTGCTTCAGACTGCAGTGAACGCTGGCCAGGCAAATATCTGCATCCTTCAGAAGATGGTGAAATGAATCAGTGATGTCTAGCCATAACAATTTAGGACTTTTCATGGTTTCAGTAGTGCTGAGGAATGACTTATTGCAAAAAAATAACATTTTGTACTAAAATACAAGGTGTGCAGCATGAGAGTGTTATGGTCGCTGGAGTCCAGATAAACCTCTTGAGCTTTTAACCTCAGTGTTAAAATCATCCTTTTTTGTCCACTTTTTTTCTCTCTTTCTTTCCTGTTTCTTCTTTATTTTCTTGTAAGGACAAAGCTTTTCTATGTAAAACAAAATGGGGAAAGTAAATTTTGGAAAAATGCTGCAAAGTGCCTCCCTATTGGCTGGGAATAGGCTATGTAAGTTGACCAAGAAACTGCCTAGCTGTACAGTCTGCAATATTTTTGCAAAAATTTCAAATGTTTGGTATTTGATGATACTTTTCTAGGCTGAACTAATCTTTCCTGAATTATGAGAACAACTTTATTTTTACAATGACAGCATTATCAAGGGGCATAAACTGGTTGTATGTTTGATTGAACTTTCAGTTTATAAGTTGAAACAACAAACGAGAACAACTACAAAGTCTCTTCAGTTTTCAATGATAGTGGCTCCAGCATAGAAAGGGGAGGGGAGATGGCAGAAGCAGCGCATGTCTGCAAATTCAAGATAGGCGACAGAAAATTAAATGTGTAGAATAAATGCCCCAAAGGATTAATCTGTATTGCAAAACTACATTGTGTTAGAGCACGTTAATTAAGGCAATACAAACCACTTAGTGTAGACAAGAACTGTCATGTTTGGCAGCTGGGTTACCTCAGGTCAACGACAACAAAAAATGTTAAAGTGGTAGTCTTTGTTTATACTGACTGTTATATTAAGCACTACGTGTTAATCAATTAACATAATGTATTTTTCCAGTATAGGCAAGCCGTAGGAAAGCTTGGGTTGTATTTGAGACACAGACTTCTCATGAAGTTAAAAAGTCACTCTTTATATTTTTGAAAGTCCCCTGAGGAGTAATTGAAGGGATAGAACCTCTCCTCTTTCTGTAGTGTTGCTCTCAATATCTTTCTTTTTCATCTCACTTATTTCTTAATTCTCTATCACCACAAAATGGTGGAAACAATGAACTTGCTTATTTTTTCCTCCAAATAACGTTGGCAGGAAAAGGCAGATCTAAAAGCTACCCCTCTTCTCAGCCTGGCAACCAGCATGCCTTTGTTCCATATCTGACTAGCACTTAGGTATATAAATTGTTTACAATGAAATAAATTATGTGTGTGGACTCAAATACCTGCTGACCAAGAGCCCAGGTATTTCATCCTGCACTTACTGAGGTCAATGATAAATTTTCTGGTGATTGTCGTGGTGGGGGTTGTGGCTTTATCCAAAGTCTTTCAAATCAATTAGCCTTTCTATTGATTCTAATTGTTGTTAGATCAGGCCCTCTGACAGCAAAAAAAATACAGTAAGTCTGGGGCTTGCTAGATGCAAAAGCTGAGTCAGAAACTGGCCTTCCCTTGAGGAATTTGACTCTTATATTTGTATTACAGAAAAATATTCTGAAAAGATCTCTGGAGCAAGGGAACCATTCATATTTCCAATAATACATGCCCTTGCATGATTCTGAATTTATTGGTAGGAGTTAGCAGAGTGTCCATTGTGCTGTGTGCTCAGTGGCAGCTTAATGGCACAGCCATTGCTGCTCTGTGTGTCCTGGGAATAGTAAACGACTGTGCAGCAGTACTCTGTTATTTGTATTGATTTTTCAAGATCCTACACATTAATGCAAGGCATGACCTATTGTCCAGGTTCCCACTGCGATGAAATACTACAGCAGTATTTAGCAGGCACAATATATGTCTAGCCGTGGAGTACAGAGTGACCTTCCTACCACAAGACTTGTGAGTTACAATGAGTGCATTGAGCTTATAACAAAGCACTGCCATGTGTTGTGCCTCTTGGAGAGGCCCTGTTCTGCAGACATGCCTGTTTAAATGGTAGGTGAGAATACAGATCTATCTCTGTATTGGAAACACTGAGTAGCAGGAGGGAGAACCACACCAAACAGAACTTGCACAGATTGAAAAAATAAACTCCCTCTAGACTTTGGACAAGATATATCCTCCAGATAAAGATAAATAAAAATACTTTCCAAACAATATGTAACAAACAGCTTGGTATCACTCTGAGTGATTTGTGCAAACACATCCATCATGCCCACGTGGAAAGCACCTGGCATATCTGTACAGGAACCTCCACACCATTCACTTTTGCTGACATGTGTCATTGGTTTAAGGTCAGTGCAGCACAGCTACCAAAACAAAAGTTTCAGTTTAATGTTCAGTTAAAACCTGATGCCCTGAACCTAACCCTGATTAAGACAACGTCTAAAGCCTTCGGCTCCATGGCTTCCATCTGGCTGTGGCAGAAAGCCCTGTCCTGTATAGGAAGAGATTCTGTGTGATTCTGAAAGGTCACTGCTGTCAGATAGAGTTTGGTCTGTCCTACTGAATACGTTATGAAGAAATATCTGGGGTTTATAATTTTAAAAATATCTCAAGTTTATGAATAACCACAATGAAATACTGTTGTGTTGGCTTGGTTTTTCTTTTCCTATGGAAAAGACACTAGCCGCTGTTCAAAAAAGCCCAAGCTTTTCTGTCCAAATTTAGGTACAAACACTTCAAACCTGCTGTTTAAAGCATGAATAGCCTGAAGAGATCCAAGCTTAAAAATGCACAGTCTAACATTTATGTCCTTGTACAAATGTCAATCCCATTTTTTAAGTGGACTTCGAGATTTAAATATCAATCCCAACTAAAACAGGCACTTCCTTTACTGCTCTTCTTCCCCTGACTTAAGTTAGTGCAAAGATTTCTGCAACATTGGCTTCAAGATGACAGATTGATTGCTTCTGCTGTAAGTCACAAGTTTCTAATGCTATTTTCCCAAACAACGAGTTACAATTTTGAGTAAGAGCAGGCCTTTCCAGACTTTTATGCAAAACAGGTGTTAGAGACCTGTTTCTTGTATTTCTAGAGCATGAATTCAGCGAATTCAAGAATCCAGTTTTGACATGACTAGGAGCCTCATGATTTGGCTGAGCAAGATCCAAGGAGGCAGAAATTACTGGATATGATCCTCTAAACCAGACTGAAAAAGTTGAGGGATTTCATTTTCTGTGGAAGAACTATTACCTTAAAACATCCAACCTGTTGTCCTTTTCAGCAGAGTGCTGGTTAGAAAAAACCTCTTTTTCCTTTGAAACTGTCAAAACGCAAATCCTGCTTTTCATATTGTTTGAGAGCAAAACCAGGTATAACTCTGTCTTCAAATTGCCATTGGCAGGAAGCCATTGTAAATCACAGCCAGACTGAAAAAATAATGGTAAGTTTTAGCCACACTTTGAGCTCTTTTCCTCCACTTTGTCAAAACAAAAATCCTCTCAGAAGTCAGTATAGATTCTGATGGTCTGAATAGCTCTGCTTTTGTCTAGAGCACCTTCAGTGGCAGCATGTGAATTGTTAGCTCGGGCTGGAGCATGCCAGGCATCTCAGCAGGTAGTGCCAGCCAGCAAGGAGCCAGGGACAGATGCCTTGTCTTGTGTCATTATGTGAATGATTTTTCTCCTGAGCCCAGAGGCAGTCATCAAACATTTTCCAACAGGATTTTCTGTC